GAACAGAGCAAGTACTGTTGCAAGGGTTACATGAACATCGGATTCATATTCTGGGCACGCTAGTCACAGATCTATTTAATTGAGGTTATCTTGCCAAAATCATGGTCCTTTGATAATTCTGGACTTTACCATTCTTTTACCAGCTACAAAGTAGATAAATTATGTTATATATTATACTAAAATTAAAATTATATTTTTCCAGTTTACTTAAATTGATTTTTATGATATGCGCACTTAATAGTTTATATCTACTACAAATATCTCCCTATTTTAATAACACATTTTCAATATCTACCTTAAAATAATTCTAAAGTAAGGCAATGTGTGTATACATTCTTTCATACTGTCTACACACATATATGTAAAGTATATTACGATGCTGCTTTTATTTTATAAAACTAAATTCATTATTTAAAAGGCGTCACTTTTTTAACTTACACTTACTCTCTGTTTCGTTCGAATGACCTTCCCCATTGGCCCAGCGGTAAGTCTGAGGACGTATAACACTAAACATCAACTCGAAATATGGTGTATATTTTTCCTACTAATTATACTAAATGTCTATGTATTCTTGATAACAGTTTTTATTAATTCAAGTTAAAACCATATATGAAACACTAGTAAGGAAGTAAGCATAGTATAGGTATTGTACGTTCACTAATTTATCAGGGTGCAGATTAGCCCTATGGTAGAGTTCTGGATTTCGAAGCTGACAAAACCGGTTCGAATCTGAGAGGCACCACAAATAATTCCCAGCATTTTCAGCTGTAGGTGCATTATAAGAGAGACATTTAATTCCTCAGCCTACATAGTGAATGTTAGGGTGCTACTGAGTGGCTACCATCCGTGTGGTCGGCCTGGCATAGCTTTGTGATTAGGGCGCTCGACTCGCAATCTGTGGGTCGCTGGATTAAAACCCCTCTTCAAGCATGCTTGCCCTTTTCGTTGTGGGAGCATTATAAAGTGACAAACATTCCCACTATTCGTTGGTAAAGAACAACCCAAGAATTTGCGGTGATTGCTGTTGCCTAGCTGCCTTCCCTCTACTCTATAACTTACAAAATAGAGACGGCTAGCGTAGATAACCCTCGAGTAAATTCGATGACGAGGAACCCACTTTGAGACTAATAATGGCTGGAGACGGCTTGAATGGGTAATGAAGAAAAACTTTAATATAAGTTTAACATAACAGTAAATGTACAACGTTTCGACAAGGTTTTGTCATCATCAGGTACATTTGCTGTTATACTAAACTTATATTAAAGTTTTTGTTCATTACCCATTCAAGCCGTCTCCAAGCATTATCAAGTCTCATTATTTGAAAATGAACTTAAGGTTTTTACTTAGAAATGAACGTAAGATCTCTTTACCTGTCAGCAAGAACTCTGATGATTAAATTTATAAAAAAAAATGATTCATAAAAAATGTGGTTATTTATGGTTCTTTTTATATTTTAGAAAAAAAGACTACAGTGTCATGTTAATGATACTAAAATAAAATGAGAAGAACTCTTATATCTAAAGACATAGTTCTATAAGAAACAGGTAGCACTTCCATCATTGGATCTTTTGAGTCTGTTTTATTTTCAAATTAAAAAAAATACAAAAAGTATGTATTTCATGCAAATGCACAACTGTTGCTCTCACACCGGATTTACTTGTATTTGAAATTTACAATTAATTGCTTGATTTTTCTTTTACTTGTGACGGATTTATTATTATATATTTACTTTAATATCGACGTTTGTTTAGATTAAATTCATATTTAGAAACATACATAGCTTATACTGTTAAATATGTATTGCGAAACTCCCGCCTATTCTCTAAAGTTGTTCTCCAGTGTAAGAATCAACAATATACGTGTGTACGTAAACGCCAGTGTGGCTTTGTATTGTTACGTAATCTACAACAGGCAATTGCTGTCCATTTGAAACTTAAATTCATTATGAATACTCTGCCTAAACAAACTATCAAAGATTAGTCTTAGTAGCTTTGCCATAAATACAAAAATTCAAATATAAAGACTAATTTGTCAAAAAAAAAATCTGCGATGAAACTGCCAATATATTCTTATTTTAAACAAACATCCTTCATGTTGTAGTACCATGTATATCAGAGTTTGACAAAGAAAATTTTGATTTCTGTACGATTGATATTTATAACAACGCTACAATACATCTTAAAGACTGCTTTTTGAGTTTTAATATTATTTGTCGAAAAGTTTACTTTACAATTTTGTCATGTTTTTTGATGTGAAGTATATAAACCTTAGTAACTGGAACATTTCGAAAATAGCTGTAACATGAGTTATCCAATAAAATTTATCAAGAAATAATTTCGTTAAATACAGCTTCACACTTACTTTGGAAGTGAAATAGCTGAAAAGTTCATTACAGCAATTGTAAGTTTTTCTTCAAAAAAAAACACTGCAATTACAAAATATTAAAATTGATTACGTCTTTCACAAATATAATTATTTAACAATATATTTATCACTAATTGTTCTCTGTTAAGATTTTATTATAAAATTTTCAGAATTTTCGCTGTTTTTCCATAGTCTACACAGATGTTATTTTTATTTCCGATAGTCAACTTGAAATGGGTAATTCCTTCAATTTGTTTTGAGCCAGAAGATATTCGAAGGTCCGCCGGAGAATCGGTATTTATAGGTAAATTTATCTATGGGAGGGTCAGATTTATCTTGGACCTTTCTCTCACTAGTTTACGGACTTAGTTACCTTCCTCATGTTTTGGACAAAGGAAGGTCAGGTTTAGCCGACTTACAACACCAAAATCTGGGTTTCAATTTCCCATGGTGGACATCCGCAAATAGCACATTTTGTGGCTTGGTGCTAAAAGTAACAACAATTGACACCCGAAATGAGAACAATATTCAAGATACAAACCATACGCTATTTAAAACTATTTTTACTCTTCAAAACCAAATATATTTTTAATAGTCTAACTAAAAACAGAATCTAAAAACCTTTACTTATTATTTCTTTCTCAACTGAAACAAAATTCTATTATTTTTTACAGCTGGTAATTCATATTTTCTGAAGAATACGAAGTGATAAAATGAAAATCATAAGCTAAAATATACATTCTACTCCACATTCTGTTCATATTGATCTGCTTGAGAATCTGATTTATTAAACATTCATACGATTTCAATCTTGTATTATCCCCTTTAAAAAAAAAATTGAAATTTTGCAACCTTACTAAGTAGACCCTGAGGATGTGCACCTGGGTATTGTTACTTAATTACGCATCTTTTTATGAGAAAAACCACATAGAAAACAAATGTGACCGCCATAGCTCCAAGAGGAAAGAACTAGAAACCAGAAATTTTACAACTATACTAAGTGGATCCTGTGGGTGTGCACCTGGGTATTATTACTTATCGCCTTGCGTTCCGGCATGCGCGTGCACATCTTTTTAAGCCACACTTCCAGGAGGAAAGAACCTAGAAACCTGATATTTTGCACACATACTAACTGGACCCTGAGAGTGTGCACCTGAGTATTATTACTTATCATATCCACGTGCATGTGCGCCCCTTAATATATTCTGTAGTATATTAGTTTGATTAACAACATCAAATATATAAAAAAACCAGTACATAATGGTAACAATGCGTTCAAACAATGGCTTTTATTTCATGTTGCTTAGTTATAAAAGAATAACTTAATATTGTTGCTAGTCTATGTACTGAAAGTATAGAATGAAATATATAGACAATAAAACTGGAATAATATCTGTTAATTTCTTAATTTAGAGGTCCTCCAATAGCACAGCAGTATGTCTCCGGACTTACAACGCTAGAATCCAGGTTTAGATACCCGTGGTGGGCAGACCACAAATAGCCCATTGTATAGCTTTGTACTTGATTACAAACAAACAATAATTTAGAGTCTCCGTTGATTAAGGAAGTTTGTTTTTACTAAAAATGTTGGTGATATAACAGAAAATACCTTAATCCAGAAAAGATTTAAGTTTAAAATTTTACATTCATAATAAACAAATCAGCCTAATAATGTATCAACGTAATAGCACCTGCGACACACACTGGCTTTTACATAAGCTAGATAACGTGACGTATAGTGGCATCTATAATTATCTATAATAATTTTGATCGTACCTTTGCGAATTTTTTACGTTTCTGTGAAATAACATACTGAAAATATTTTTTGACTGTTCTTTTATGCTAAAATAGGCTCAGAATACATACACTGACACAGTCATCTAGAATATATCAGCCTAATAACCCGAGCGAAGCCGGGTACTTTCGCTAGTAATTAATAAATACGGGATTGATTAATGTATAGTGTATTGGAGATTATTGTGCAGTAATTTTTAACTTCAGGTTGAGGTTTTTTATTATTCTTTCTCCTGTTGTCAGATAACTCTTAATAGATATCAACTACACATGAAACACAATGGAATATATTGTTACGACAGCGGAAGTCACGTGACACTGGTAACATATCATGAGTTTCTAGAAGGATCGGGGAACATCACGAATATCCTAGTATTTGATAAACGCCCTCTATGTTTGTATATAAACACGGCAAATAAAGCGGAGATAATAACAGCAGACAGGGAGAGATAGAGACAGATAATTGAGTCAAGCGAGCAGTGTGTTTTGTTATCGAGATTTCATACGTATTGATTGTGGAAATTCTTTGTAATGCAAAGTTGTATCGAGAAAGAATAAACTAGTTTTATTTAAGGAAGGACTTGTATCGCTGAAGTTCATCGCAAGAAATTATACCGGAGTTTAACAAACGAACAGAGACATAACAATATTCTGTAGTAATATTAATCAGGTTTTCAAGCGAAACAATAAAGCATAAAACATACTAAGTTGTATTTTGAATTTATTTAGACCTAATTCTGAATATTCAATTTTAATTGAAGATATACACAATCAAAGAAATATAATTTCAATTCTAAATGGAACAAATATGGAGCTATATTAAACTTTAAATCATAGAGGGCTTCAATATCACAAGACAGAGAAATATTTATTTTTGTACTGATAGGGTAGTTGGAACAGGTAAAAAGTGGACATGGAGATTAGGGGCATTCTTTTCAAGGTTGGTTAAATTTGTTTATTTATTGTAAATTGTGGGTACCAGTGTTCATCACTAAAAGTCCTGTGAACTCAAAGGACGACGACCTGTAGTAAAGAATAAACTCTAAGTAACCTCTCGTTCTTTTAGTTTTAAGGTAACTAACACAGGATATCAGCCATATAAGATGACCTTCAGTCAACGAGTACAATAAAACGTTTGTTTGAATACTAATACTATATATATATATATATATTCTTTGATTCAGAATCAATTGAACTTTCAAGTAAAGTAATTTCAAAATAATGTTTTGCAAGTTACGGGCTTTTATCAGTTTATTATGATTATCTACAACTTAGTAATAGTACAAGTAACTGAAAAGTGTCAATTTATTTTAAATTT